CACAACCTGGATCTGATTTGCCACCGTTTTATCTGAGTAACTGTAATATTGAGCTTGGTCTATATTAAGACATAGTCACAAATCTTACATTTTTTTCAACCTATCAGATATTGAGAGAATTCTGGGGGGATTCCAGGTTAGAGGGAAAAAGTTTCCTTTTCCTATTGTCTGTCCTCTTAAGTTACTAAAAACTAAAATACATTTCATAGATACGAAAAGTCATAATATCTTCTATGTCCAATTATACCAAGAATTATTAAATACTTACTTTATAACTATCAAGCAAAAAAATATAAAACTATATAATATTTAAAAACAAAACGTAAAACTTATTTATAAAAGCAATTCTTGGCAAAACTGATATAACACCATGAGCACCCATGGAATAAAAGACTGTTAAGAGAGAGTTTAACCAGAAGAACTGAAATCACTCAGAGCTATAATAGTTAATAAAATTCTCCTAGATAATATTTTCCCGGGCTCCCAATATGGTTATTGAAATTGACTGAACTTTACCAGTTTTACATTAGCAGAAATAGTATTCAAAACCATTTGAAAGTTACCAGTTTGTTGATCCAAAAGTATTTAGTAACAATTACTTCATAAGCAGTATTTTTCCAAGCGAACTATTTTATACTTCACTTTCAGCCTGTGGTTTGGGTTCAGGCAACTATGAAAATGTATAAGTAAAGACAGAAACAAGTATTTTATTTGGTAAGAGTAAATGGACATCTCCACTTCTGCAATTTCAGTTCGGGTTTGAGGAAGAGCAGAAAGTCAATTGGAAAATCCTGCATAATGTTGTGGTGAAAGAATGTTGACATAAAAAATGTTCTAGAAGCTTCTCTGTAACCATTAAACCATTGCTGTGTAACAAAAAAGTCGTTCAGAATAGAAATACATAATTGAAAATAAAGGGTTTGGTCCCTATTTCCTAGAGACCACTTTATAATGAAGGAAATGTGTCCATGATTCATTACTTAGAAAACACAAAATATCATGTTACACTTTCCCACATGCAATGAACGCACATACCTTACCCCTGAAATTAGGGCATCTTGGATCAAATCTGCTTTTGAGTAATGCAATATTTTCAATGTACTAAAAATAGATCTAATTCATTAACGGTATTTTTAAGTCAAAGTTTTCAAGCTTTCTACATAGTGGTAGAGATACTTAATATCATACAGTTATCAAAACATTAGAAGCACATTGTTTTCTTCTATTGTGTCAAGAAGTGATTTTTTCATTCCTAAAGATTCAATGAAGGAAAAGCATGTATGTTGAAAGTATCGTTCTTATTAGCTACAAAGATTACAGTAATTATTAATAAAGAGCCTAGCAGAAGTAGAGTGACAGAGTTCAAAGTTTAGATGCTGGAGTCAGCCAGCCCATTACCTAGGGGCTAATCGACTCCAGGCCAGTTATTTAAACTGCGGAATATCAGCATCCAAATCTCATGCACGGGAAAATAATAGAACCTACCTCAGTGAGTTGGTACCTTGTATCAATCAACTCTCACAGGTGCTTACCTCAGTGCTGGTGCTATAATGAACAAATTTTCACGACTGTCTTTTCACAGCTTTTCCCTGATCTTTGAAAGTTGTGAAATAGATGAAGCCAATTCTCTCCCGTGTCTCAAAATTTGGCTTCTTTCTCTGTTTTGAGGATGTCTTTTTTTTTTTTTTGGTCGTTCCACCTTGCCTTTCTCTACGCATTTCCAGTTTCCACTATATCCAAGATGACGCTGACACTCTAAGGCTTCCCACTAGGGGGCGCCAACAAGTCGGCATTGCCCCTCCGTCCTTGACCTTTTTGTGTTGGCTGATTTTGATATAGAAAAATACTACAGTGACCTCTCCTTTTTCAACATTTTAAATAAATTTCATCACTACGTTTTTATAAAAATATGACCGAAAGCTCCAAATACATTTAAAGTTGAACCCCACGATGTTTTTCAATCCTTTTTAAATTCCACCCTGATGGACAGATCGTTATGAAAGATGTACAAAAGATTAGTCTGTGGTAAGATAACTCTGAAGAAAAGTCACTCACAATCATAGCTGCCAGACCTCCAAAAAACCAATATACAAGTACTTGCAATAAACCCCTAATAAGGAAATTACGTTTTACTACTCCTTTTAAGACTTTAATACAGTTTTACTACCCCCTTTAATCTTTAAGGGGAAAAAAACACGTAATCTAAGGAACATTGGATGAATTTTTCTCCCTAGCCTACAGACCAGGACCCACATGGGGCTGGACCCAAATTACCCAGAGATAAATCATTTCAATAGAAAATGCTTTGGTAAGTATTTTTGGGCTACTCATGTTTATATACAACAGAAAATGTCACCAGTTTGACATAATAAGCTACAAGAAGAGACCAGGGCTATCACAGGAGAAAACTATCTGGGAGCCCTTTGCAAAATTGCTTCATGTTACTGGCATTTCTTTTCCACACCTAAAGGCATTTTACATTTTTTTAAAGCCAAGAAGATATTCTAAACACTTCTACTGTTGTAAAAGTGTCATTTTCAGGACAAGAGAAAAAAGGCAAATGTTGAGCAAATTAAAAAAGATACCTGTAAACCCAAAGAGGAAGAGGAGGACAGGACTGAGAGAGACTGGGGTACGGTCTCTGCCCCACCACATCACGGGAAAGTCATGTCATCGCCCTGAATCCAAACATCCAGAAAAATAACCTGCCCCTTTATATCAGCAAGTAAAATGAGGTCATGCATGTGCAATACATTAATGAGTTTAAAGGAACATATACATACAGACATATGTAAAACTGAAACCATTCCATTTGAAAGAAAGTTCCAAAATAATACCAGAGTTGTTCTAAAATGAGCTCTAATCCTCTGAAAACCTAAAAAGTGCAGACCATACTTTTTGGGTACATGGAATGTCACTGTCCAGCTCAAAACAAATTGTGGTGAATTTCTCATTAAGGAGAAAACTGAAAGTGGACTTTTCAAAGACCCTTCTGAGTTGCTGAGTAGAAGTTACCCATCATTTTCCAGAAAAATCTGAAAATTGCATTAGTTTTTTTAAAAATTTCATATACGATAGAAGTCACCAAAGGAAAATATTTTAAAACACCAAATCAAAGGTGAAGCTAGTTTGATGAAGAAAACAAATGAATGTATTTTTAATCTTAGCTAATTTATATGGTAAAAAGTAAATAACCAAATATTTGAAAATTATATCAAATCTGTTATCTTCTACGTCTTCTTTATTTATAACCTCGTATTTCTAAAATATTATGTATATACATCTAAGTCACTGTACTATTTATGGTGTAACTCAGCTCATTGTGAATTTTGTTATGTTTATATAATGTATAGACTCATTTTTCTTCTTAAAGAGTAAGATGATAGATTAATAAGCATTCACTAAAGGAAAAGATACAAAGGAAATTACATTAGTTTCCTATTGACCCATGACAAATTACCATGCACATAGAGGCTTAAAATAACTCAAATTTGGGGGCTGGCCCCGTGGCCGAGTGATTAAGTTTGCGCTCTCCGCTGCAGGCGGCCCAGTGTTTCATTGGTTCGAATCCTGGGCGCGGACATGGCACTGCTCATCAAACCACGCTGAGGCAGCATCCCACATGCCACAACTAGAAGGATCCACAACGAAGAATATACAACTATGTACCAGAGGGGCTTTGGGGTGAAAAAGGAAAAAATAAAATCTTTAATAAAAAATAAAAAATAAAAAAAAAAATAACTCAAATTTATTATCCTATAGTTCTGTAGGTCAGAAGTCCAGCATGGGTCTCAGTGGGCTTAATTCAAGGAATTGGCAAGCGACAATCCTTTCTGGAGTCTCTAGAGAAGAATCCATTTCCTGCTTATTCAGGTTACTGGAAAAAATTGAATTCTTTGCAGTTCCAGGACCAAAGTCTCTGTTTTCTTGCTGCTGTAAGCTGAGGGCCATTCCCAGCTTCTAGGGGCCACTACATTCCTTGGCCCATGGCTCCCTTCCTCCATCTTCAACATGAGCAAAGGCCGGTCAAGTCCTTCTTGAGTCAAATCTTTTTGACCCACTCTTCATCCATCTTCTTCTGCTCTTAATTACCTGTGATTCATTTGGGTCACCCAGATAACCCAGGATAACATTCCCGTCTCAAAGTCATCAACCTTAATCACATCTGCAAAGTCTCTTTACCGTGGAAAGGAACATAGTCACAGGTTCTGGACATTGGATGTAGATCTCTTTTGGGGGAGAGGAGAGAAGTCATTATTTTTCCTACCACAGAAATGTTATCTCATATCCAAGGACCAGATAGTTTCTATGTTATTTAAACTTCTCCAGGGCATTAAAAAAGATGGAGATCATCGAAATTCGAATTATGAGGCCATCGTGATCCTAACAATAAAACTAGTCAAGAATAATATCTAAAAGAAGAAATCTACAAGCTCATCTAATTGGTTTATACAAATGCAAATGGCTTTACTATAATGATTAGTAAACCAAAAATAGCAGTGCATTAGAACAAAAGTAGAGCATGGTTAAACAGCACTGGTTTCAGGATGCAATGAACACCCAACATCGAGAAATATATCCTTATGTTATGTTCATGTAAGTTACTATATTAATCGTTTAGAGGAGGAACAACAGAAAATCATCTCAAAAGATATTAACAATGCATTCTGTAAAATTTATCATGCATTATTTATTAAAACCTCTTACTAATCTAGGAGAAGAACTCTGTAAACCTAAATCTGAATCCATCGGAAACCAATTTTAAACATCATACTTGGTGAAACACTAGACATTTCTGCTGAAAATCAGGAATAAAGCATGGGCTATTATTTTTGAAGTAGTAATTTCCACCTACAGGAAAACATCCTTCCCCAAAAATATTGCACAAGTATGTAGGAATATGTGTAACGTCAATAGGAGAGGTTAGATAAAATACATTCATGGTATAAATAAGATGAAATGAGATAGATTTTATATATATATATATATTTTTTTTGCTAGTGGAGAGTGTGAATGCAGTCCCCCAGTACCACAAATTATGCAGTCAAGTTTCCCACGTTTGGGAAAATTGCAGGAGTTAGCACATCCAGAGGGCAACGGATACGCCTTCCTCTGGGAAAAGCCCCTCCGTGATCATGGTATCTCCCCTGCCAGTTTAGTATGCATATTCTCTCTTACAACCAGATACAGTAAAACATCCATAAGATTGTGAAGTTAAATAAAGTTTCAATGGACATGATTTTTATCTTTAAAATGTGTATGTATTTTGTTTATGTATTTGTAAATGCAAAGAAAAAGCTTGGAAAGAATTTCATTGAGTGAATAACAGTTATTATCTCAGGGGATGGGATTTGGGTAAATGAAGGCAAATTTCCAAAATTCCAATACAACGTCTATATTTTTTGCCTATTGAAAGAAGTTAAATAAAAATGTATAATAAATAATGTAAATAATGAATAAAAATAGTAGGTATAAATAAATAATAAAGTAGAATTAAAAAGTGCAACAAATAAATGAAAATTTAGCCCTTGAACTTTTTATATTCTAAACTTTTTATATTCTAAAAAATTCTCATAAAAAAAAATCTAAGATTTTTTTTCCTCAACTCTAAGGAACTATCGTTAAACATTGGTTTTTCAAAATAAAAAGATAAAGATATTAATGATCCTGGCTACCATTTGGTTGGGGGAAAAAAACCCTGAAACAGCAAGAAAGAGTACACAGCCAACTCATAGATCAATGCTGGAAGGATCTTAGGGTGACCTGCTGCTGTGCCCGCAGAGTGGCACATATGCTTGGTTTTCCTGCCTTGGTTGGTTATTCTCACAGATAATTTTCCACACGTTGCTAAGGATACACTGTTAGACAAAGGCATCAATATTTCTTAGGAAGGACAACAGTGTGTTTAAGAAGCAATTTCTGGGGCTGGCCCCGTGGCCGAGTGGTTAAGTTCGCGCGCTCCACTGCAGGCGGCCCAGTGTTTCGTTAGTTCGAATCCTGGGCGCGGACATGGCACTGCTCATCAGACCACGCTGAGGCAGCGTCCCACATGCCACAACTAGAAGAACCCACAATGAAGAATACACAACTATGTACCGGGGGGCTTTGGGGAGAAAAAGGAAAAAATAAAATCTTTAAAAAAAAAAAAAAAAAGAAGCAATTTCTTTGATAAAAGAGCTAGAAATTTGGCATTTGACAAGATTGGCCTTACCAGGGAGCATTTCTCCATTTTCCCACAGTAATAGACGTTAACTTTTCTAAAATAAAAATGGTAATGCATCAGATCTAAAGATTGTTTTATTTTTAAATACTATATACATCTTTAAAGTAAATTTCTAAGAAATTTAATAACCTTAAAATTTCATGTAAAACTTAAGAAATACTAAAACAAACTTAAATGACTGAGTTTCTGTCTTCTTGAGGATTTGTCTATCTTCATATAAATAAGTTTAGTTTTGTTCATTGCATACAGACACATCTTTGTTTCACAAGATAGATTTGTTTCTCAGCTTTTGTCAAAAATTAATAAAGAATTTTAAATACACTAAGAGAACTGAATCCATTTGGAAATATAATTTCATATTTTCATTCATGGAAACATTAAAGGTTATTTATCCAGAGGAAGATATTAAAGCACATATGGCCTAAAAGATAATAAGATGTTATAATTCTCTCTTCCTTTACCAATGTCACTAAGATTAATTGTTCTCGAGTAGGGAACTTCTGTCTTTCTATTACTTTTATACTTTTGATCAACTTGTCTCGTAGCCTCTATATCACTAGTTATCAAACTTTGCATCAGACTCACATGGAGCAGCCATCAAAAATACAGTTTCCCGGGCTTCAGTCTCTGATTGTGATTCCTTAGGACTGGGAAAGGCCCGGGAAACCGAATTTTAACAGGCATCTCTGCTGATTGATTGAGGTACTTTGTGGATCACAGCTGGAGAAACAGTGCTCTATATGAAAAAAAAAAGAAAACTATCTTAAAAATTATCTGTATTCTGGGTGTTAAGGTAGGGAGAGTCATCAGGAACTTTCTAATTTGATTTATTATTATCTACCAATTACATTTTCATATAATCCATTTTATGCCTCTCTGCTTAAAAACCACTATATAGAGATTATTTTCCCACCAATCTTTAACCCTTGATCAAAATTCTTAATACTCTGCCTTTTTTGATTAACCTCACTTGTCGTTAATGAATTTTAAAAGTCTTAACCCACCACAAGATTTTCATATACACCTTTGTAGAGTATGTTTCTTGAGTGAATTTCCTATTTTCCCAACTGGAAGATAAATGTTCCATCTAAAACCACGTGGTACAATGTTTGCCCAGCAAACATCAGCATCTCACTTTGCATCTCAATCAGACTCTGTAGCAATTCTAAAACTCTCCAATGGAGGGTTTTCATTTTGTGTAATTAGGCGTTCCATTTTTTAAATATTGTTCAGAAGGTTTGCATATTTCACCTAAATCCATCAACTAAGTGACTTCTTTTTTTATGTAGACAGCAGAAAGGAAGAAAATTCTATCACAAAAAAGAGATTATTCATAGTTTTTAGAATAAATCAACATAAGACTCTTTTTGCTCTGATTTAATCTCACTATTAGTTTATTAAATTATTCTTTATATTTCATTCATTTGGAAGAAAGAGATTTTCATTGAAAAATCCTAGTCCCTATGTTTTAATACAATTATTAAATGAAATTTGTATTCTAATATCCTGTGTTGGTTACTTCCACAGGATTAAATTCATTGTGAACCATTCCAGTAGCCATGATTTCTGTAATGTATTCATAAATAGTAGTCTACTCATGATTAATCTAATCTTTTGTTAAAACATACCTTGTTTTTTTTCCTACAACTCCCAAAGTGTCTCTATGCCAAAAGCATTTCAAAGCCACAATCTTTTAAAGAAATAAAATTAAAACAGAGCACAAGCAGCTAACTATGACTTCCCTAGGCATATCTATTTCAAACAATGGAACACTTCAGTATTTAAGATCACAAAAATCACTTTTATAAACCATTTAAGTACATAGACTATTGGCAATTATCAGGTGCTTACCTGATTATCAAAAATAAAAAAGTATATTGATATAAACAAATATTTTCAAGTGCTCTTTCTCAGAATTTCCCCACTTGTGCTTTTTTTTTTTTTCTGTGAGGAAGAAAAGCCCTGAACTAACATCTGTTTCCAGTGTTCCTCTTTTTGCTTGAGGAAAATTGTCACTGAGCTAACATCTGTGCCAACCGTCCTCTATTTTACACGGGATGCCACCACAGCGTGGCCTGACGAGTGGTACTAGGTCTGCAGCCAGGATCCAAACCTGTAAACCTTGGGCCACCAGAGTGGAACACTTGAACTTAACCACTATACCACCAGGCCGGCCCTTTCCCCATCTGGGTTTTAAGATCCCTTAAACACACCCAGAACATAAATGATTTTCTGGCGTTAATTCTCAGAGGTATCAAACATTTGCCTAGTGTTCAATGTGGTGACCATACTTGAAAGCACTTCCAAAATATTTCTTAAAACATAAAAAACAAGAAAGAGATGTTTAGAATGAAATGATCTAGTTACCAAAGTGTGCACTCCAGATCACATTAAAAAAAAAGTCATTGTTTCCATGCTCATTGAAAGTAGAATGAATGTAAAACTTGCTCATTTCATCTGCTAAAATGGCAGTATATATGGATCACGAACTCTGTATTAAAGGAAATATGTCTTGTCTGGAACAACACTTTTGTTAATTCTGTATTATTCAAGCTTTGAAACTGAAGGATATATTTGGACTAATTCAAGAATCTCATTTGAGTACCTCTTAGATTGCAAAGGTTTTTAAGGAAAAGTATGCAAAACCACCCCTGACCCCCAATTACTAAAGAATACAATTTTAAAGTTGAAGTCTCAAAAGCCTTGAAATCTAGACTCAATGTCTTGTATAGATGGTGACGTCAGTTTCCTCTCACCCATTCTCTTCAAAACAGAGAAGGATGCAGTCAATCCCCATACCAGTGAGAATACTGACCCGTCAAAGTAACTATGAGATTCTACTTACTCAGAGGACTTGTTGCCCATTCTGAGAATTAATCATGCATCATTTCATACATTCAATTGCATTTATTCCTCTTGTCATTTTAGGGCTCAACAAAGCCTCTTTCAAATTATAAAGATATGAATAAAGAAGAAGAAAATTCAAATAAATATATGCTAATGCTTATCAATCTTACAATGACCGTATTTTAAAAGATTTCTTCAAAACAACAACAATGACAACAATCATCAGTACAGAGAGCTACTAAATTTAAGATCCACAATGTTGCTTTATAAAGTTATTTGATGGTGGTCTGGTTTTACTACGCCAATGAAATCACTGATAATAGGAAAGAATCAAACAGATCCATGATTAAACCAGGTGGGACTTTATTAATTACCTTGTACAGATTATGGGCCAACATTTGCTTTGTAAGGTTAAAAAATATATATAATACTTTTACAGTCATTACAATGCCAAATGCTATATTTTGGGAAACCAAAAAGTTGTAGATATTGCTTACAATCTGAATCCTTCCTATATATAAATCTGACATTTACATTATTTAGAGAAAACCTACTTCAAAATGCATTCTACGAGTTATTCTCAATCAGGTTTTAAACATAACCTTGGAACTAGCAGAAGATTATTACAATAATAAATAAAGCTGAATTTTCAAAATTTTCTAAATTGTGCAACACGGGTGGCCTTCATGCTAAAAGTGCCGTGCGAAATTCTTAACAGCAGATATCAGGTTAAGGTTGTATCACTCAACACATACCAAGGATGTGCCACTCCCGGTACCTGAAAGAGTGTGGAAAAAAGTGTTACACATCTGTATAGAAGACTTTACAAAGCTTCCCACACAATTGCTAATCAAAGAAGAACAATGGAACTTGTGGGGATTTTTCCCCTTACCTTTCTTCTCAGTCTAAATAAAAAACGCAGTCAAGTGGGCAAACAAGACGCCTCCACATTACTGGTATAATAAAGTGGATTATTCCACACAGGAAACCACCTGAGCAGTACATTAACTTTCCCCAAGAATTTTATGCCTGTCTTTGGCCTCTGTGCATAAAAATTACATGTCAAATAATCACACCACAGAAAAGGTGATT